TTGTAATCTTTTTGTCTGTATATAGTTCGATGGTGGTCTTAAATTTAATTGAACGGTGATTTTAATTGAACAGTGATCAGTAAAGCACACACACAGGTAAAACTATTTTATAAACTATTATATACTTAAAACTATTATCTACTTAAAACTAAAGCATGTTTTGTTTAACAGTATTTATTATTTTTAGTTACAATGGACGAAGTGTTGCGTAGGCACAGACGTTATATCTGCTTACTTCTTTTAATATATAGCAGAATTCAAAGAACAAATAATCAATGTGCTATACAAAAACAGAGAAGATATTGGGTCCATCCAATCCTTCAACGGAAGCAACAGCAAGGAGATTGGTACAACTTAATACAAGAAATGCGATTTCAAAACGATGAGACATTTTTCAGTTACATGAGAATGTCATCAATTATGTTTGACTCTGTGTTAGCAAAAGTAGGACCTAAAATCACGAAAATGGAAACAAACTGGAGACGTCCAATCCCAGCCGCAGCAAGATTGGCAATGACGTTACGGTACAATGATTATATTGTTCAGCTTGGTCAATTCTGAATAATATTGTATAATAATTTTATAATAAATTGCAAAAAGCATTAAAAAACACGTGATATACTTATTTTACAGTTATTTGGCAACTGGAGATGGATATCAAACAATTGCATTATGTTACCGAACTGGCAGAAGTACAACGGCACAAATAATAAAAGAGACATGTGACGCTATATGCGATGGGATTCTTTTAACGCAGATGTATTATTTACTCCCACACGAAATGGGTGGCAAAAAATTTCTGATGAATTTAAAGAAATGTGGAACTTTCCCAATTGTATCGGTGCTTTAGACGGGAAACATATTTCTATAATTGTAAGTTTATTTTAGACTATATACAATTACATACACATACATGCATACAGTTTCAATAGTTGATACTATATATAGCTTTAATAGTTTTACTTCTCTCTCTGGGTACTCTGGGTACTGTAATACATTTATCTTTGCAGTGCCCGGAAAAGAAGGAAGCACGTATTACAACTATAAAGGCTTCCATAGTGTCGTTTTAATGGCACTTGTTTCTGCCACTTATAAATTTTTAATCGTCGATATAGGTGCACAAGGCAGACATAGCGACGGAGGAATTTTTAAACATTCAGCTATGGGACAAAGATTTTATAATAATGTAATGGACTTACCTGATCCTTCTTCTATTAGTGCTAGACATACTGTTCCGTACGTCATTGTAAGTGATGAAGCCTTTCAATTGACTTTATTTAATATGCGTCCGTATCCATCAAAAAACTTGACAATACTACAAAGGATTTATAATTATCGACTAAGTA